ATGAATAGTGATTTGTTAAGTAATTATACGCATCCGGCAATTGACCATAGAGCAAAGTGGGAGTTGAGCAGTCTATTTGGCCCGCTTTTCGAAAAACCAAGCTATATGAATTCTGACGGTTAGCTTTTGATATTATATTGATAATAAATTCACTTAATGCAACTCTTACAGCTTCATTTGTGAAATATTTAATAGAAAATTTACCTGAAGCTTTCAATCTTAATCGTACTACGAATACAGATTACACCAAAATAAGTAAGGCCGTGCAAACAAATAAAATTGTTTCTCGTTACCCGGCCGGGTACCTTTTTTAGTGAAGTCAACATTTTTTTCTATATAAAATTTTTTATTCTTGTATAAAAAAAAAAAAAATTATAAAATTTTTTTATATGAAAACTATACCATTTTTTGCCAGCCGGCCGGGTTTGTTAGCTTGCCCCATGTAACGAGAAACAATTAATTTAATTTGCATGGCCTAACACGGCTCTATTTGATCGAATTTAAATTAAATTCAAATATATAGATCTATTTTTTTTTTTTTTATTATATTTCTATCGCTATGTATTGGTTTATTTTAAAAGAATTCAAATTTACTATAAATATGTACCGGTAATGCTTGTTCTCTAATTGGTTGATATTGATATGACATACATGATTATAGTCCCGCATTTTGATTGGTTGATATGATATTCATTCCAGTAAAAAAAATTTTAACTGGAACCACTGGAATGCTGGAAAAATCTGGATGTCCAGTGGAAGTTCCAGCTTCCAGTGAACAACACTGGTATAGGTGGGCAGATTAGTATAGTATAGGCCAACTTTTAAATCTATACTATACGGACCAGGTATTATATATATGAACGTTATATAGTTTTTATAATTTTGCAGATCCGTATAGGAATTTATAGCAGATCAGTATGGTATAGGTGGGCAGATTAGTATAGTACAGGCTAATTTTTAAAATTATACTATACGGATCTGCAAAATTATAGAAACTAACGCTTATATATATAATACAGTCGGGGATTATTGAAAATTTGTAGATTATTTCTAGAATAGTCTACGATCATCCCCCGAAATATAATTGGCCTTCTTATAAAAAAAGTCATGGTATTTCGTCAATCTAATATGTAACCAATACGTAACAAAAGTCAAAACTAGTTATCGATATACAGTATATATTTTTAAGCATGTACTTTAAGAGTCCCTAGAGATTCCTGAAACTTAACAAATTAGTTTTTTCACAAATTCAAAGTTTAAATTTTATAGTTCGTAGATTGATCAACCATGAATTCGAACTCTGAAGCCAAAGATCTGCCCTGCTTTTTCACTTTTTTTGCTAAAGAACACAAAGATAGTGACTTGCTAAAATATATAGAAATATGTAGAATTGGGAAGTGGCGAAATGCATCTGCCGCTGCAGCAACAAAAAGAATAACAGAAATGGCTAAATATTTTTCTGAATTAACTCAATATCTTGCCTCTATGGAGAGTTATTTTTTATGTGAAGAGCATTATAACTGGATCGTTGCTAAAAAATCTTTTATTGATCAATTAAAGAAAAAAACTGATCCAATTCTTTTATTATTAGAAGAACCAGAGAAAAAAAAATTGAAGTTTTCTATTGACGACATTGAGCCACAAGTTTCTGAAAAGACTTTCGCCGATTTTGGTATTCAAGTAGATTTGTTTGAAAAAGCTTGTGTTGATTTTGAATCCCAAGTATCCTTTTCAGATCCAATGTGTGAAATTCTTCAAAGAAGAATTGATAAGTTAGAAAAAAATAATAAGCAACTATTAAGTGAAAATGAACCATTGAAAAAAAAGCTAAGTGAAAGATTTACTAACCAAGAAGATTGCATTCATTCTATAATAGAGATTGCCAAAAAAGAATGAAGTAATTTGTGTAAAGATGTAATGAATTTAATAAAGAATCAAGAACGGTTTTCTTTAGGTAGTCTTTTGGAGTATTCTCCTTCCAAGTGGCTTGCTGAGCAAAATCCGGTCATCATCAAGTTTATAAAAACTCACACATAATGAGAATGAATATTAGCACAGAGAGGAAAAGCTTTTCAAGTGTGCAGTGGCAGTTGATGCTATATATAGGTCAAGGCATTTAAGATATGTATCGACTATTAATTTGGCAATTTCAGCAGTTAAGTATTCATTAGCAAGATCAAAAATGATCATTGATATTGATAACCATATTATTAGCTCCAGTAGTTATACGAAGTTTAATAATTGGTTAGAAAGTTTAGCTAGAGAACAACTACAGCTTACTAAGGGTTTTATGTTTTTGGCTTTTAACAACGAACAAAAAGGTCAAAAAAACTATTTGGATTGTGAGAATAATACAGTTATATTCCACACAGTTACGAGTTTCATTGCATTTAGTTATAGCCAGAGTAATGATATTCAAAGTAAAAATCCTTGGCTATATACAGAACTTGACTCAAAACAATATGAAGAGTTATTTTATTTTTCATCAGGTATGAGTAATGAAATTAATGAGAAACTTACTAATTATCTTTTAACTATTTTAGATAAGCTTTGCATTGAGAAAAATCAAGAAACAAATATAATTAACAAATTGGTTCATCAGTAAAGTCAAATAGGATATACAAAAAAATGTCTAGTTTACCAGACCTCTAATATCGATAATAAGAAATGAGTTTGTCCTAAATGCAAAAATAAATTACTAATGCTTGCTAAGATAGTCGACGAACAATCTAAGATTGTAAATGCCGCTAAAAAATCACCCATTCCTCCTTATGTATTTAAACAATAATCAATTCTGGAAAGTGAAGTCCATGAGCTACAAATATTTGTTTCTGATCCAATAGAAATTAATCCAAACTCAGTTACTAATGTTAGAAAAGTTCTTGAGCATATTGAAAAAATATTTGGAGTTAAAAATGGTAGCCGTAAATGGGTTGTAGTTACTTGTGATGGAGTACCATATCATCACATACAAAAAATGAAAAAAGATTTTTCTTGGCTCATATTAATTCCGGGTGCCCTTCATGAAGAAATGAATATGTTAAAGGCACTCATTAAATTAAATTGGGATATTGATCTAAAAGATTTTGCTAAGTGCCAAAGATATCGAACTGACAACCAACTCCAGTTTTTCAAAAAATGCTCTGATTATCATAAGTCGTGGGATTCTATATGTAATATATATAGACACGCAATGGTATCTGAGTTAATGTAGCCATATGTTATTTCTGAAGAAAATCCTTCTGATGAAGGATTTTTAAAATGGGCTCAAAATCAGACTGATCATATGTTTAGGTTAAAGTATGAACAAACTTTTATTTATTTGCAAG